GTCATGAATTCTGACCTGGGTTTTTTTTTTTGTGTGTGTGTGTGACAAACCCAGTAATCTGATAAAAAGTGTAGAGAATTTCTTTGTGTTGCTAGATGCGATTCAACATTTCTATGAGATCCTGTGCCTCCAAGCCTTGATTTGAGCAGGAAGGAATAATTCTCCATCGGTTTGCTCTGTGTTCCGTCCTTTAAATTTATGGCATCCCGGAGTATGTAAACAAGGAAGAGGATTTTATCAGTTGAAAATGGCTGTTTCGGTTTTGACTTCTTTATTCACACAGAAACATATAAGCATCCTCTTTCTGTTTTCAGGTTATTTGGAAATAGTGGCGCTTGCAGTGCTTGTGGGCAGTCAATTCCTGCTAGTGAGCTGGTTATGAGGGCACAAGGAAATGTCTATCATCTTAAGGTAAGAAAATGTTTCTTTCCGGTGCTTCCCGTCCCTCCATGAAGAGTGCCATTTCTGCACTTAGATTTGTTTAAGAACTAGACCAGCATCTCCTCCGAGTTTATCAGCCAGGGTTAGCCATAAACGGGAAAAGATTTCTAAGATGTACAAGTTGCCCAGTGATTTATGGAGCAACAGTACATTTGAAAACACTGCTGAGTCCTAACAAGTGTCATATATTCTTTTGTTCGGACAAATCTATATATACCTTTTGCTGTAATACAATGCAGAGTTTGTTTGGAATCCTAACACCAAAGTTTAATTTTATGTTCACCCAGTGCTTTACCTGTTCAACCTGCCGAAACCGCCTGGTCCCTGGAGATAGGTTTCACTACATCAATGGCAGTTTATTCTGTGAACATGATAGACCCACAGCTCTCATCAATGGCCATTTGAATTCACTTCAGAGTAATCCACTACTGCCAGACCAGAAGGTAACTTTACGACAATTGCTAATAGGCCTCATTTAGGCTACATCACGATTAATGTCTTTTCAAACAATACTGTGTATATTATTTCGAACAGTGTCACGTGATTGAAAGTAGTTAATGGGATGCATGTCTAAACATGAGGGTGTTTTAAGTAGTACAGTGAATCTGGTTTAAGTTGGGTCCAATTTGTATATGGATTTTAAAAACTTAGATACAAACTTCTTAATAAGTGCTTCTTGGATTATTAAGCTAATTCTACTAAAGTGGTCTATGAAAACATTGCAGTAGTATTTGAAATCTAGTTGACCTGCGTTTGGTTTACCAGTTTGACCTAGCCAAATCTTGGGCAGATGATGGGGGACAAGACAATCTTCCATTTAGCTCCTTTTGATCATATTGTTTATATGTTCCTTAACTTCTGGTGCTAAAATTTAACATGGTTTTTTCTCAAGTTATTGGAATCGGAAACAATGATGATCAACAGTTCTATTATACCTTTGCTGGAAGTGGACAGATTTTAGATCTATTTTAATCTCCCTAATAAGTCCCATAGCTATGCAAGTGAGTGCATTTTGATAACTGCAATGCCTAATTTATAATAATTACTGTCAACCTTCAGTTAAGGGACTGTTCATTCGCTGGTTCAGAAAACTCTGAATGCACAAGTCTTGCACATAATTTTATTCGCATCATATTTCATACTGATTATGTATTGATGACATTGATTCATTTACTCTTTACAGCGCCTCTTGCATGGATATTAAATCTTATTGACCACAGATGAATTTTAATTTCAAATTGGTGATGGATTTTTCCATCAGCTCTGATAGTATATTTGACTTTTTCATCATTAACCCAGGCAATCGCACAGTACTGAGTTATTACATTGAAACAAAGTGCACACTTCACTTGGTAATTTTTTATGGATTTACAATAGGAACTTCATTAATGTCTATTCTAAGGATAACAAAAAAATAACATTTATCTGTTAGTAAGAATTTTGAAGATAAAATTTAAACCCATCTCCTGGGGCAGTTTGTGAATTCCGAAGCAACCAACAGAATATAAATGCACTCTTGTCTTTAGAGGGTAAATAATTCAGAAAAATTATCATCTCTTCCCTGAATAGGTAGGACCTTGCTACAATTAATAATTGTCATTTCTTTAGTAGTTACCCTGCATGTCTTGTTCTTAAATAGGCCAGATGCAGTTAAGGAGTCCTATGCACATTATTTGGGAACAAATCTTTTGAGTTTAATAGGAATTGTTTCAAAATAGACTGGTTTAAGATGACTATTCTCTTTGTACTGTTTGGGTATCTGACTGGTTTATAATCTGGAAACAAGCTGGTCTCCTGGTTAATAAATAATTCCATTTTTAAAAGTAATCAAGGTCTTTTATATTTGTTTCTGGTGACTGTGAGCATGTTTGAATATGCTTGGTCTTTCCTTTATACATTTCCCCCTATGTATCATATGCTTCAGCAGTTATAGTTAGAAGATAGAAATTATCATACAGTACTAGTACTGCAAAGCTGACTCCATCTGCCATCCGGAACAGTTAAACCAAAGAAGGATATTAACTATGTTGCTGTAGTACATTAAAAGATTTTGAGGGTGTGTGAATAGGGGCAGGAATATATCATTCTTAGTGAGTAATCCTAGTCCAGACTAATAAATGGTTTAACTAATACCATTTTGTCACACATTGAGCAACATCAAGGATGTACCATTTTTGAAGCAAGTAGTTTGTTCCTCCATCTGTACTGCATATTTTGGGGATAATATTCTGTACATTACAGAGAGGGAAGAATTAGATGTTTCAGTTGTGGTCAGTTACCCAGTATGCACAATCAACTAATGCCAGAGGAGCCTAGACTGATTTACTCTGTTTATATGATTAGTGTCTGCCTCCCTTCTTCATTCTTCTGTAGTGGTATCTTCATTGGGCCTTCTAGTCATCTAAAACGGAACAGCTGAATCTAACTGCTACTCTACTGTGCTGTGAATGCTGCCTAACTCAGTATATTGCTTTAATAAATACCAACAATCACTAACATAGATCTGTTTAAAGGATAGAGCAGAATGTGTTTTTAAATAATCACCCAAAGCCAGCCAAGCAATTTTTAAAATTAGTGTAATAGAATTTAGCCCAATCGGCTTATTCTGTGCATAGTTAGTATAATTTCTACACCTTGGTCAGGAATTCATATGGCCCCATTGAATCAAATAACTGCCAACGTTTCTATTTTCAAACAAAAATTCTCTGTCTTAAGAAATGAAGCAAAAATGTTCATCTCCATTGAACATATAGAATTTTCTTGAATCAGTTACTGACTCTTAAACCATACATTTAAGATTTGCCAGTCTTGCAGTTATCTGTATTCCAGAATGAGCAGTAATTATACCTGTGGTCCGATCCATTATTTTAAACTACAAACTTAGCTTGTGCCTGAGTTTTACACAATAATATGTAGCTTAAAATAAAACTTTCTAGAATATGCAACCTTTGTGGTTATACAAAAGGTATTGGTGAGGGAGGAGTGAGTAGTAACTTTAAGTAATAAATATTTTCATATATATTTTTAAAGTTAACTTTTAAAAGATGATTATGCCACCCTCTGCAGATTTTTGGTCACATTTACAGCTGAGGCACTTTCTCTAGAGGGCAAGTTATTAGGTTGTGTTGTATACTTGCTTCCATTTCTTTCTCTCTCTTTTCTTCTTTCCCAACTCCCGCAGCCTGTTTTTACAGGGTATAAGTTTTCCTTTCATTGGTGGTGACCAAAGTATTCCCTTTGATCCAGCTCCTATAGTTTTAAATAAAGCATGAGTTAGATTATGTTTTGCTATTCTTTCTCTTGCAGAGAAGCTTCTAGTTTACATATCATTCAACAATTCCCTTGTACTTACATAATTGGTATTGTCTGTGTCCATAGTAGAGGACACTTGATGCTCATTTATTAAATATGCTTCCTGGCTGCTCCCTAATCTTTGTTCTGGACAGACAAATTACCTTTCTCACACTGAGTATCAACTCTGGGGAATTAAACCGCCAAGCTTCCACTAGTTTAATTAGCTTGAAAGTGGGGGGGGGGGGTTGTAGCTACTAATAGACCTCAGGCTTTTAGTAACTTCAAGGAAGGGTAAAAAAACAAACTTCTTAGGAAATTCAAAATGTCATTTAAAAACCATAAAAATCTAATATATTATTTCATTTTCATAATTGCAAACAGATTGCATTTGAAAACTGTCGATCGTTTCTACTTTATCTGTGGAAGTTAGATTTCTGTCGAGCTAGGCATTTTTAATTATCACAATTCATTAACACATCACAGTGGAGGCACATGTTTGACTTCGTATATTACAGAGTTTATGTAACATTAACTAACGTAGCAGATGAGGAATCTTAAATGGAAGGAAAATATTCCAAAATGTCTATATTTAGTTTTTGTGCTATGCAGCATGCTAACTACTGTTGCCTAGGGGAGGGTATCTTATATGCTTTGACAGAATTTTTTTCCTAATTTAGAAGATCACTTTACTTGGTTCTTCAAAGGCAAGGCATGTCATTTAATCCCAGGCCAAAGGAAATGCATCTTTTGTAAAAGAAATAAAGAGAGACTGTAGGATTTCTCACTCGAAGCATTTTTTTCCCCCTTTGGTGAAAGTATATCTTGCTGTCAAACTGCAGAAAATATTTTTGCGGTCTGTTTCTCCATTTGAACTCTTTAGGGACTTGATGCGTATTACAGAAAACCTTTAATCGAGTCACAGTTGGAATCTAATTTAATAAAATAAGTGAATCGCGAGAAGACGAAAGCAGTCACGTACAGCTCAAATCAAGCATTTTAGCTAAGATGCCCCTTTTTATTTCTTGCAGGTCTGCTAAAAGATCAGAGTACTGCAGAATGCGTGCCTTCATCTCAAACTTTCTTCATCACAGATGGATCCCATGTCTCCAGTAGACAAGTCACCTTTGTAGCTAGCATCAGTGCCAGCTCCATGCCATTGCACCTTCTTTACTCTTGATTGCCCTTCTCACATTTATTGGTGTATTAAAATGACTGAAAACGAACATTAAGAACTCCATGAATCTGGGCTAATGGGAGACTGTAGAGAAAAATGGAAAAAAAAAAAAAAGATCCACCGGAGGAGAGAACAACTTTGGGTGGGCAGGGTGGGGACAAATGACTAATGAAGCTAATACAGATAAGCTTTCAAGTCTGCTTTCTACCCTCATTAACAATTAGCAGGGCACTGGTGAGAATTTGTACCCTGTGTTTTACCTTAACAGCATTCTCTTTGCTCTTTGTATAATTTACGTGTTGTAGGAAATGTTCAAAACTCAAACCTGAGCTAATGGAAAGATGGGGCTCTTGTGATAACCTATCACAAATACTTTTATTGTATCTCTGTAAAATACAATGTATGTATGCATGTAAGTGTGTTTTGTCCTAATGTTGCTACTTCCCATGACACAGAAAGAAAAAGGAAAAAAAAATCAAGCTCATAGCAGCAACTGTAGAATTTTCATCTACTCCTAATTCGCTGAATGAAGAAGAAAAATCTTTTATTTGTGATATTTTCAGAGACATTTGCTCTAGTATGGTGTATTTAAATAATAAAAAACTTAAAATGAAAGGAATTGTAATTGATTTTGGACTATAGTGCAATGGGGCAAATTTCTATCAAGGAATGAAGTTGTCACAATAAGTTAATTTTTAAAACCTCGTTTTCCTGCTTTCCAGTAGCTTCCTGGCAAAAAGGAATGCACTGAAATCTATACAAAGAAATACTTTTAGCAGGGCTACCAAACTCAAAAGTAATGTCAAGGATTTATTTCTATAACAGTAATGTTCAATGGCAGGTAGATTTAACTTAAAGAATTTTGTGCTAGCTTCACTTAACTCATCCAATTTTCACAAATGATAGGAAACGTACATCTATCCTAACATTATTAACTTGCTAACTATAATAATTTTTATGTGAATTCAAAAGCACATCTAGGAATTAGGATGGTTTCTAAGTTGCCAAGTTACTCAAAAGTGTCCTCGTTGTGAAAATTTTGTTTAAACTGTCTCATTCTATAGCAAAACATCCTGAGAAAATAATTACACTTATTTTTCTGCTTTGAAATAGCCCCCTCCTCCCCAATTATGAGTACTGCTGCATGAATGCCAACTTTTTTCAATGTTTTTCCAAGATGCAAATCTAATTCTTTATACTCAGAGAGCCTGACAATCACCTTAGTGCATGCAGAGGTATATACTGTATGTAATACATATATATCCAAGTCCAGGGGTAGGCAACCTTGGCTCTTTTATGACTTGTGGACTTCAACTCCCAGAATTCTGAGTCAGCATAGCCAATATTGCCTATCCCTGTCCAAGATCATAAAGCAGTACAGGAAAATCAAGGCGTGTGCAAAAGCTGCTTGTAATTAAAGTCTTGTATGTGCCCCTTATAGACAAAGTCCCTAAATGAGAAATAATACTTTAAATATTTGAGTTGTTGGCTTATAGAGTTAAGGAAGTGGCTAATAGATTGGCTTTAATTGTTATTTCCCAATCAGTTTTCAGGTATGTGAAATTCTGGGAGCTAAAGTCCACATGCCTGGAAATCTCTGGCTTATCCAATGTCCTGAAATTTTGTGGGGAAATACAATGAAATGACAAGTACATGGTTAAAATGGAACAAATCTGTTTTGGCTTTTGGCAGATGGCCAAAATTGGGCCCATTTTGTCTGTAGTCCTGTAAATCTTTCAACATCATTATACTATTTTTTTATATAGGTAGGAATGAAAGATTCTGGTCGCAGCTGACAAGTTGCCAAATGTGGTCTAAAATATTCTTTGGATAAAAAGTGTCCTTCAAGCTGAATTTGATTTTGGTGATTTCAGGGACACTCATCTGATTTCATACAGAAACAACGTATTACCTAAAACATAACACTACATAAGATTGGCAGGGTTGTTTTTTTTACTCAATAAATGGCTAATAACTCTGAATGTTAACTAGGAGATGTAATGTGCAGAGTTCTGGCTTTTCATTACATTTCGCATACCTTCTTTATCACCACCACTACCACAAAACAATTCAAGGATAAGCTGGGTTGTCCCAAAATAACAGTGTAATCCATGAGTAATTTATAGTCTAAATTTATGGTGGTGCTTGATGTTGATTTGCCTGTAAGATGCTTTTGTGTAATCGTGATCCATGCAAACTGAGGACAGACATAAATTTTAAATTCCAAATGCATTCCTGGTAAATATTAATGTTCTCTGGAGTGAGAAGTATTGCATCATTTTATTTCTGGCTAAGAAGATACATGCACTTGAGGCTCCAGGGTGAAACTCTAAAAATAGGAAAAGCTAACTGCAAATTCATTAAAAGTAAAGGATTTTAATGTACATATTTTAATTTTGATCAGAGCAATAGTTAAATGTATTGCACTCCCTACAGAGTCCACTGAAACATTGGCCTAGTTGGATTGTAATGTTCAACAGTGATTTAGTGCGATGTGACTGAATTTGGGGTGTTATCCCCTTTACTCTCTCCTTGATTTCCAAATGAGCCAGATAAGGAAATTTGAATGTGGGAGGTAAAGATGGAAAGTGACTCTGTGACTCCTCCTTGGGTTGCCAAATAGACTGTATTTTCAAGCTAAGCAACTGTGTCCTATCTGCAAATTATTGTGCTGTCTTTACAGCACACAAACACACAGACACACAAAAACTCAATGTATGAAAATAGTTCTGGACAAAATCATGAGGCCAAGTAATAGCTTGCAAAGGTATTTTGCATCCCAAAGCAAGTCCCAAATGTCCCTAAAATGTTGGAATTAGCAGAAGAGTGCTGAAAAGTTATTTTGGGACAGCATAATCTCACGCATTCTAGCTGGGGAAGATACATTTTTAAAAACTCTTTCTGTATATAAGCATTCATCATTGTGCCGTTGGAGTTAAAACATGCTAGGACTGGGGTTTTTTTGTTTTTGTTTTACTATTGTGTGATATAATCTAGACATACTAGAGGATGACTAATAACTTTCAATAAACCATAGTGTGGCATTAAGCAACGAAGAGATCGAAGTTCGTCAAAGACTTCAAATAAGCTTTTTAATGTGCCTGGTTCTTGAAGCGCTGCTACCTATATAATAGAAAGCTTAAAATACGGTCTTAAATTGCAGACCTTATAAGATTACAAATGTCTCTAGTGTTAGTATAATCCACATGCAAGTGATAGAGTCTGTGCTTTGATGTGCTAAATTGGAGAAGGATTCTTGGGGCTATGAATATGTGATGGAACGTCTAACTAGATTGGGGTAAAACATGATAAAAACTAAAGACCTACAAAACAATAAAAACATCTTCATGGTGAGGGAAAGTTCTAGTGTGATTCGGTATTAGGCAAAACAGTTTCGAAATTAGATCATCTATGATTCGCAGCGGGAAAGGTAATTTTAACGTGCTTGTTCTTTGTCCATTTCTTCCTAACTTAGTGTTGCTTAGAGATGTTTGAACTGCTGTTCCCATCATTATCGTGAATGTATACAAGTAGGACTCCATTGCAGCTGGAGAGTATTAACTTGGAAAAAGCTGGTTTGTTACATTTTTTACAGCATCTTTCTTGAATGCTATGTATATAATACATGGATTCATCCATAGCCCTACAAACATTCAGTAGGATCTATTGCATTAAAAATAGTTGGAGCTCACAAAAAACTCAGAAGAAATTGTACCCAATGTGAAAGCATTCTTGTCAATAGGTACAATTGTCATATTAGTTTTATGCAGAAATAGTAAAGCTATTGTTAACTCTTTTTAATGAGCTAACTTTGCAAAAGGACTAGCTCTCTAGCCAATTTTACATATCCAGTTTTCTGATGATTTGTGCATATCCCACAGGCATGGAAACATTTAAACTTAGTTCTCCAAGCTAAATTCTGTATCTAATGAAAGACTACTTTTTCTGTGGTTCAAATTCTTTAATTAGGTTATATTATACATTGTAAAAAGAATCATTCACACCAAAAAGAAGGAAACAAGCATTGCCTTTAAAAGTGAGGTAGAGCAGCTACAGGCTATTTCAGTACTTGTCTTAATCTCCCTAAGAAGTGGCAAAAAGAGAGGAAGTTGGGCAAGAGAGGTATGTAATTTTCCAAATTGTGGCGACTTTGTAGTTTTGGTTTCATCTATCAATAGTTGTGCCCTTATATTGCCAGATCAATTTTTCCTTTGGGCCAACAGCTCTTTAATAGGAAAAAGTTCTCTGCCTCTCCTTTAAAATGTTAATAGCATGGCAATGGAAGATTGGCTGTCGGTGTTAAACATTTACTGTTTGGGTTTAAAAGACTAAAATTCTTAACAAAGAAAGCTTTATAATTTACTGGCAATTAGATTTATCATAATGATGCAAAAGTTTGCAAGATTCCAGTGCCTGAGAAATGTATTTCAAACAGCACTCGTTTAATAAACATGAGGAATGAGATTACGGTGTGTATAAGATTTCTTTATGTGAAAGGCTTCGGTATGTGACTATCTTGGCTTAGATCATTATTTGCTCCCCTGTGTCTTGATGTCATTGAACAGAAAGTCCTGGACTTCTATTGTCCTCTTTTCTTTCAGGTGCACACATGCATTGTTAGTCTGGCTTAGCTGTAAGAAAATTTATTACAGTTAAGTGGCAATTTGTTGCCATGAAACTGCAATTAAAGTATTACAGAGCAGCCATTTTAGATTAACACAGATTCAGAGCATGGGCAAGCACAGCTCTTGTTATCTTTATAGCATCTGAGCTCTGCATAACTGTAAAACTGTGACATGTTCACCTATGTCTTTTGTCAAGTTAAAGAATTTGAGCTCTCCGTGGAGCACCGTGATCTCATCACAAGCATAACGAAGAGGAAAGACAAGCTGGGACTGATTTTTTGCAAGTTCAACCTGTGATGTATAAAGTTATTACCATATTTGGAGGCACTGTGAGTGCCTGCTGGAGAGAGGGGGGGGGTAGGAGAACATTGCTTGTTTTAACCTCTCTGGGGATACGTATGCATTGGTAAAATGGACTGCGGGCTCTGGAGTTGGATGACAATAATATCTTCAGATCCTAACATGT